AAGTAGGAGGCAGAGGGAGGGGGAGGAGACAAGGAGGGTGGGAGAGAGAGGAAGAGAGGGAGGAGGGGAGAAAAAACCATTGTGGATCCCACAGTCTCATCTATCCCAAGCGTGTGAGCATCACATCTAGGTTGTAACAAAGAGATGATCGAGTCCTTTCTTTTTAGTTGTAGACAGGCTGACACAGCGGGCACTGTGTGCATGTCTGTCGCCTCCTCAAAGCCCCCATTCCTTCAGGAGTCACGAGCTCCGATCCAGAGAGGGCCCGGGGCACAGTCCTAGGCGCACCGGAGAGGCCGCCACAGGTTCATGCGCTTGCGGTCAGGGGCGTTGGTGCATCTTTACGTGAGGGAGACTAAGGGGTCCCTTCGGACAGTCTTATCTCGATCCCCCACATTTCCCGGGGGGATCGTGGGAGGAGTGTGAGGGACAGGTAGCCCGTTCATTAAGGAGCGCGGGGTGCGGACGAGCAGAGCCGGGGAGGAGCGGGGTGGCACTGCCAAATCTTAACCGGGGCCCCTGGTGTTTGCAGACCCAAGTACAGCCGCCCTGGTCTCCATGGTGCCGCCGCAGAAGCTGCTGCCCGAGAACTCTGAACCGCACCCCTGCCTCGGTTGGGGACCCTCTTCCTCCTCCTCTCCCACTACGTACCTGGCCTGAGCTGCAGGGCGCGCCGCCCGGGGAACCCCTCTCAGCGGGACCTGCTCAGCCACCGTTCGCCTCCGCCCCCTGCCGCTGCGCCCCGCCAGCCCGGCTCGCCCAGCTCGCAGGCACCGTGGAGGAATCCAGGGCAAACCCACGAGCAGCCGGTGACTCTTCCTCCGGCATCTCTGGCCTGGCCCCTTTGGGGTGAGCCGAGCGGGGAAGGTGCTATCTCCGCCGGTCCGAAGTTGCCCAGAAAAGGCCTGGTAGAGAAAGAGTATCCGCGGAGGCTGGGAGCTCCAAGTCCTCTTCCAGCTGCGCCTTTGCCGCCTCGTTTTCCTCCACCCAGGTTTGTTTATATAGGATCTGGGAGCTGGGAGGAACTGCCCACCCCCTGCAGGCGCCCACCCCACCTTCCAGGGCTCCCACACGTGGTCGTGGTCGACATCAGCACCTTCTCAGCAGAAGGCAGGAGGCTGCGAGCGAGGAGCAGCGCTGGGGGCGAGCTTGGCGCATCTTCAGGGTCTGCTCCCCTCCCCGGCGCCCTCACTCACTGCAACCCCAGCTCCGACTGGGTTTCGCCACCCGCCGTCCCCTTCCCCCCGGGGAGATTGAAGACAGCCCTCTTTCGGCGCTCCTGGCGCTTCTCTGGGTTCGCTCAGTGGCCGGAAAATAATGGTAACATGAACAGCGGAGCGTGAGCGCGTCGCCGTCACCGGAGGAAGGAAGAGATTGATGGGCAGAGAGCTTACTTCAAGGAATCACATTCCTGGGGCTGCGCAGGGGAACCGTGGGCGCCTCCGCCTCCTGGCTGGACGCCGCTGACATCTGTAGCCTCCGTTCCCTCGGGCTCCCAGGTCGCCAGCCTCTGCCTGCGGAGGAGCATTGACCGGAGTTGGTGCGCCTCCATCCAAACAGGAGTTCTCCCGGATCCCGCGCGTCCCCGCGTCCATCCCCGTTGAGCGCCCACCAGCACGCTGGCTTCGGAGGGAGTTGAACTTGAGTTCAGGTGGGTTATTCCCCAGGGGAACATAACGGGCGCTGTTCCGGGAAGACGGGGGAAGGTGATGCTGCAGTGTCCAGAGCGGACACTTCTCTTCCTAACACTTGCCGGGCTGAGCCGCTTGCTCCCACACAGTTTTTACTCGCTCCTCCTCAACCCAGCCCTCCACACTAAGGTGGGGAAAAACCACACACACACACACACACACACACACACACACAGCCCACAACTCCCGTTTTCTTAAGTATTAGCATGCCATTGACTTTTCATAACTTACGATTAGTCTATGAAACCATTATATTTACTCCATCGCTTTACATTAATGGAGGTCAATAGGCTTAATGATTCCCTCAGTCAAGTCATTTACTTCTAAGCCAATAGGTAGTGCCCTCGTCATAGTTTTCTAGGGGGGAAGTAACTGTGCGTTTGTTCTGCAGATGCCCAACTCCCTCTGAATCGTGCGGATTGGTGCTGAGCACGCAACAAAAGTTTGTAGCTTCTCCGCAGTTCCTGGTGCTTGGCACGGAGAGGAAAGGACTGGCATTCAACACCGGGAGCAGTCAGGGAGCCATCTCCTTTAACTTTTCTTACCTGTTATCATTTGCAATGAAGAGGAAACAGAAGAGATTTCTGCAGATGACTTTGTTATTCATGGTGGCTTTAATATTCCTGCCCAACATTGGTCTCTGGTCTCTGTACAAGGATAAGCACCTGGTGAAATCCACGGAGCCTGGGGAGCAGCAGGTAAGTGCCACCCAGAGAAAGATCACAGGAAAGCTGGTAAGGCTTGTTTCGACCCTTGGGTGGGGGCGGGGGTGGGGGGCGCAGGTGGATTTTTCCCCCAAGTCTTTACAGAACTGACATGACCAGACTCTAGAGACTTTGGGTTTTAAGCAAGTAGTTGTTTTAAGATCACAGTCACTGACACGGTGAAATGTGAAATGAGCTAGAAAAGGAGGGTAAGAGAGCTCACGAAGTAAAGAGAATCTTTCACAGTTGGTCTTTAACGTTGATTTTGTTTTGATCTGGGTGAAAGGTAAGTGCTTATTTGTGGGCTGTGGGAGTAGGTTTGGTGCAAGTTTATCAGAGATTTGTCTTTGCCTCTTACCTGCTTTGGGTGTGTATATTGAATTGGGCAAATTAAAGCATTAAAGTAGGGAAGTAGTGATTTAAAAACAAACTACAGCTTTCTATATTTTGGGTGGTTATTTTTGCTTAGCAACAGCTTTTTACCCTTGGGGAACTTAACGTCTCTGTTTCTTCTCCCCTGTTGCTAAGGTGGTACCGTGGGGTATACACAGGCAGAGTTATCAAGCATGTCCCTTCAGTTTCACAGTCTGGTGATAACAGTTTGTTGTTAAAAGCTTTCCCTCAGATCGGAAATACGATGTAGTGTGGTATGCTTTCTTTTTACTTAGTATGCAATCCATTAGTACGTGCACTGCTGTTGACTTAACATGGATCAAAATAACTATCTTTCTTAGTGAGCCATAGTGCAAAACACCCTTCACAAAATGTTGATGAAATCCAATATTGTTGAGTTTCTTGTTTGTTAAGAAGTGAAACGGTTCCTGTAATTAAACTTTTAACAATTGACTGCAGCCTTCTTTATGATATTGCTACAACACTTTTCCAGTTAGTCCTGTGCATCCGCTCGGAATATTAATATTTTTAATTTCAAGGGTCATCACCCATGTACACTACATACCTTCCACATATAGAAGTGCTAAAGTCCATTGGTGAACAACATAAATATATATAATAATGGCAACTAAATATTGGTTCTTAGACTTAACAAAGTTTAATTTCTTTTTACACAGTGAGTAGTTAGTTGGTGAAATATATGGAAGTAATCTGCTTTTTCATTATGATAAGTAATCATTACCGGTTGCTAAACTCTAAAGATAACTAGTTGCTTATGGATTTTTGGTGGATTGGAATTTTGAGGGAAAATGCTGCCATATTTTCATTTAGTTATTGATATCTATCATCCTTTCTTATAGAGATGGAACTTTGATTTAAAGTGTATTCTGTAATTGCAATAAAAAAAGACATGGATACTTGGGATGTTAAAAATATTTTTCTATTTAGATCACTTATTTCTACAACCCTTGGTATGAAATGAGATTTTATTGCCATTGGTAGTTAATACACTATTATGTAAAACTTCCATTCCAATATTGATAAAATACCTAAAACAAAAATATTTTTTCTTGAATTTTGCTCATTCAACTAACAATAACTACCTGAAATATTTGCTGGTATAGATAACATTAAACTCTAGTTAATCTTATTAATGAGCTCTTTACAACCTATCAACTGGGTGTATTGATTTTGACCCTTAATAAGAAATTTGTATCTCCAGTGGAATAAGAATATAAAAATGACAAGTCACCTCTCTTATTTCTCATGATAATCTTCAAAAATGGTTTCCTTGTTTCTGGTTCTTCTGTAGTAAAATGATGCTTAATATCAGATAATAAGTTAATGAGTATAAAAGGGATGAAGTGGTAAGAAAAGGAACAGTTTCTCAAAGTTCATATGCTGTAGAGTAACAAATAGATGTCTTGTGACATTCCAGTTTACTAATTCTATGTAACAGTTTTGAAACCAAGAATAAAGAAAAGGTAGTAGGTAGTAAATTTCATAAAATGAATGTCAGTCATATACTTTGGTATTGTTAGCCTAACTTATGGTTTTTAAATTAAGACTTTTTATAGATACAAAATCAAGTTTAAAAGTAAAATTAATTACTTTCCGAAAGATAGAATTCATTCTAAAACAGGAAAAGGTAAGCTTTTGTTGGTTTTATTATGTTAATAAATGTAATTGGAAAGGAAAATAGGGTATGTTGACATCATCATACAAGTATCAGATAAGTAAAAGTTGAGTTTTATGCACACATATGGAATAGACAAAATAAAAAGTTGCTTGCAGTGATGAATTAAACATTGCTTAGCATTATGATGTAATATCTTGCTAATGTATCTATATTTCAATGTTAGTAAGTCAGCTAAGTGCAAAGGTTTTCAATTGAAGCATATAATTTGACTATTGGGGTAATGTGTTAATTAAATTTAGCAATTTATTTTTAAAAGACATTTTCTTGGTTGATTGCTAAAATTTTCTCCAAAAGCCATCTTTTACTATATTTATCACCAAGTTGTAAAATGCTGCGGTTAAAGATTATGTGCTGATTGGGGCATTGGAAGCAATAAGTAATGAAGCTAGCTATTCAAAACAAGTCACATGCCCAAATGAGAGGTCTGTTTTTACAGCAGTTAGTTGTCAAACCACAGTTGTGGTTTTAAGGGTGGAATGGCGGTACTCACAGAAGTTGAAAACTTTCATTGTTTTATGTAGTTTAATTGTTACGGTGGGTTTTAGGGAAATACTTTAATTTGTGGAAATTCAAAATCACAAAATGGCTAGTACTTTAAAAATACTCTTAATTTGTATTTTATCAGAGTATATCACTAATAGTTTGCATATCTACTATTCAGTATAAATAGTGTTTATTATAAAAATAATAATTCACATAATAATTTAATTTATTGGAGGTAAATTAAAGGGAGGTAAAAACAGAAAGCACTGATCAAACTGCATGTTAATTTCCATGTTTAGTATTTACATATTTCTCAAGTCTCTTATATGCTGACAAATCAATACTTTGTATTTATTATCATTTTACATTAAAAGTAATATATATAGGTGCCATAAGTTTTAAACTTTTACCCCATTTGTTTTACAGAAAATAAAAAATATGATCTAAAAATTCTCTAATTTATCTAAAAGGTTTTTTTTTCTTTTTATACAAAGAGAATTGAGAAATAGTTTTAGTCATGCAATAATAAAAAGTTTATTTTATTATTTGAGCTCTGCAAAATTGGAATCAGGCTGAAATATATATTAATCTTTTGCAATTTGTAAGGTTTTATAAAAATTTAAAAATATTTTATAGTTCTTGTTTAGATGTTATTTAATTAAATTATGAATCATAATTATCATTGTTATTTTCAGTTGAGTTAATTCTGCCACTTTTTTTACCATACATATATTTTATAAATGTATTTATTGGTAATGAATGTGATATTTAGCAAAGGATGATTACTGTATGATTATTGTATAATAATTCCTAATTTCATTTAAAATAATTTGAATAGTTACTCTTCTTTGGTTTTAGCTGCAATTAAAATGATATATTTAGGACTTCATTAAACTATATTAGGATGATAATTAGAACAAAGCACTATTTCAGAGCAAACCTACTTCATTCAGTATTATTACATATCTTTTCCTAATCATTTATGAAAATTTAAGTAAATAAAAATGACTCCAAAACACTTTCTTTTCTTGAAATGATTGATTAAAAAAGCTGTAAAATAATTTAGTAACTAAGTTGCACAGTATGAGTTATAGAAATAATTAAAAAGTAATCAGAATATGAAGAGATTTTTTGCAAATAAAAACTAGGATGAAAATCTCAGAATTTTAAATCAGACATTTTTAGAATTGTTCAGAATGATTTTAGGAACATGTTTGGCCTGGATATTTTACCACATTAAAAAACAACCAAACAAACAAAAACTAGACACCCAAGTCACTTTAAACTGGTATAACCTTCTTGTACTTAAAAATTGCTATTTATGAAATAGGGCTAATCATGCTTGCCTCATAAGAAGGTACATAAAGTTGTGAGATCACACCTTGGCTATGGAAAATATTTTGATGTAAGATAGTTTTAGTCAGATCCACATGTAAGCTATACTTGGTAGATGTGAAACTTAAGATATATATATATCTCCTCAAAGAGATCCCTTAGCATCTTTTCCAACTCTTCTCGTGTTAACTCCGCACTTAGGGCGGCGGGAGGGGGTGGTGTAGAGCGTGTCTATTTTTCTTTTTCAGTCAACACCTTAAATACTGGAAGAGCTAAGAGCAGAAGGAAAAAAATTAAGATTTTTCTCTCCGCTTGAAACCAGGTGGTACATTCTCAACACACTAGATGTGAAATAACGAATTAATTTGGGACTGTTTTTAATTAGCCAAGATGTAGATTTTAAAATTAGGGTTGTAAGGACCTTTTCTTGAATTTATAGAAAATCCATTCTGACTTGTTACAGGATCACACCACACAGATGACTGTAACAAGTGTCTTAATTATTTGCTGTGACCTAGTAGATCGAAACATGACTAGTTCATTACTTTGCCCCATGGGAGGCAGTATGAAACACAGTCTTCTGTACACAATCTGGTAAATAATGAGATAGTTTCTCCCCCCTGCTCATTGCTGTGCTGGATCATTTAACCTCCCATGTGTTTTTGTTTGTTTGTTTTTTTTCTATAAAAGAAATCAAATCAGGGGTGGGATATGTAGGGTAAAGTGTGAGAAAGTTTGAACCATTTAAGTGTTTAGAGAAGAGAAATGAGTTTTGTTTGGTAACTTTGTTTTGTTAGAGGTAGCCATGAGAACCTTTAGAAAAATTTTCAACTGTGTCTCCCCATGTAGGAGTTTTATAAAGATGAGAGTCATCAAGAATTGCCTTAGAGCCCAGCCAGCATGACTCAATGGTTGAGCATCCACCTGTGAATCAGGAAGTCACAGTTCAATTCTTGGTCAGGGCACACACCCAAGTTGTAGGCTGGATCCCTAGTGTGGGGCATGCTGGAGGCAGCCGGTCAATGATTCTCTCTCATCATTGATGTTTTTATCTCTCTCTCCCCTTTCCTTCCTCTCTGAAGTC